GATGTATCATTATAAGAAATATGTAGATGACAAATTTATCAAATGGGATAATATTGACTTTCCAGTAGGTAATGATGAGATTGAACTATTTGAAGAACAGAACAAACACATATCGGTCAATGTTTATTACATAAACCCCGATACGAATAGTAAAACTATTTTATTATACAAAAGAAGCAACAACCCACAAGCACAACACAAAATCGATTTGATTAAATTGACTGATGATGTTAAATCCCATTACGCTTATATCAAAAATTATGATAAGTTAATGAGTAGTCAGACTAACAAGATGAAGGCGAAGAAGTATCACTGTAGAACCTGCTCACATGGTTTCAAGACCGAAGAACTTTTAAAGAAACACGAAGAACAAGGATGTCTAGCAGTTGAGGGTCAAAAAATAGAAATGCCAGAAGCAGGTGAAACAATAGTATTCAAAAACCATTTCAAGAAACTTAAAGCTCCATTCGTAATCTATGCCGACTTTGAATGTTTAACTGTGCCAATTGATGTTAAAAGCAAATCGGCAAAAGCTAAAACTACATCATATCAAAATCATCGTCCGTGTGGTTTTATGATTAATGTAGTCAATGCTATAACCGGAAGTAGTGAGCCTTACTTATACAGAGGTCAGGATTGTATGGATAAATTTGTTGAGAAAATCAATAAAGTCAGAGAGGAAGTTTTGGAGAAAATGAAGGAGGACAAAGACCGTATTGAAACCGAGAAGGACTGGGAGGACTTCAATAATGCCACTAACTGCTTCATTTGTGGAAACAAATTTGAGGAAGGAGAAAAGAAGTGTTGGGACCATTGCCACTTTACGGGACAGTATAGAGGTTGCGCCCACGAGGACTGCAATCTACGATTTAGTATGAGATATTATAAAATCCCTGTGTTTCTTCATAATCTTAAAAACTACGATGCCCACTTAATCATCAACAAGGCTCACGAACTGAACAAGAATTCTAAAATAGAATGTATCGCTCAGAACAGCGAAAAGTTTATAACCTTTGGTTTTAAAAATCTTTGTTTCAAGGACAGTTTCAGTTTCTTATCGTCTTCGTTGGATAAGTTGGTCAGGTTGAGTAAATATGAGGATGATAAAAAGCGTGAGAATTGGAAGAACAATTTCAGATACAGCGTTAGAAACCCGTATGTTAAAACCGATGAAGATTTGGATTTATTGACTGATAAGGGTATTTATCCCTATGACTACTTTGATGATTTTGAAAGATTTAAGGAAAGGGCTTTACCACCGAAAGAAGCGTTTTACAGTAAATTGAGTGAAGAACATGTAAGTGATAAAGATTATGAAAGGGCACTGAAAGTATGGAAGCACTTCGGGATTAGAACACTCGGGCAGTATCACGACTTGTATTTAAGAACTGATGTTTTACTACTGACCGATGTATTTGAAAACTTTAGAGACTTGTGTATGGAATACTACGGTTTAGACCCCGCTCATTATTACACGTTGCCAAATTTCGCATGGGACGCGATGCTTCTAAAAACTGGTGTTGAAATAGAACAATTGCATGACCAAGAAATGTTTGAGATGGTTGAAAAGGGAATGAGAGGTGGTATGTGTCAGGTAAGTCATAAATTAGCGGTGGCAAATAATAAGTATATGGAGGAAGCATATGATGAGAACAAGCCATCAAATTATATTAGCTACTTGGATGCTAATAACTTGTATGGTTTAGCAATGTCCCAGAAATTACCGCTAAAAAATATCAAGTGGGCAAAGAAAACGCCCAGTGTTGAAAAATGGAATGAAAACGATGAGTTCGGTTATATTATGGAAGTTGATTTGGAATATCCCGAAACATTGCACGACTTCCACTCTGACTATCCACTAGCGCCTGAAATAATGAATGTAAATGTTAGTATGCTTTCTGATTATCAAAAGCAAGTCTACAAAATATATTATGATGGCAAAAATCCCAAGGATGAGAAAACAAGTAAGTTAATATTAAATCTAAAGGATAAAGAAAAATATGTGGTTCATATCAAGACTTTACAGTATTATTTGAAAATGGGAATGAAAATGACAAAAGTCCATAGGATAATAAAATTTCAACAGAGGGCATGGTTGAAACCGTGGATTGACTTCAACACTGGTAAAAGGAAAGAAGCCAAAAGCGATTTTGAGAAAGATTTATTCAAATTAATGAATAACGCGGTGTACGGAAAAACTATGGAAGACAAAAGAAACCATATGGACTTTGAACTGGTTGATAATGAGGTAAGATATGAAAAATGCGTTAATAATCCAACTTTCAAAAATAGATTTATTATTAATGAAAATCTCGTCGGAGTTGAGAAAACTAAAGCAAAACTGAAACTGGATAAACCGATTTTCTTAGGAATGAGCATTTTAGATTTAAGCAAATTACATATGTATCAGTTTTATTATGAAGTATTGAAAAAGAAGTATAATGAAAACATCAAATTGATATATACTGATACTGACAGTTATGTAATTCAAACAATGACTGATGATGTCTATAAGGATTTCAATGAGATAAAGCAACACATGGATTTTAGCGACTATCCTGTTGAGCATCCATGTCATGACAAAACTAATAAAAAGGTCTTAGGAATGTTTAAGGACGAAGTGAATGGAAAAATCATTACTAAATTCATCGGATTGAAACCTAAATCTTATGCCTTCACAATTCATGGTGAGGATGATGAACATAAGAAATCAAAAGGTGTAGTCAAACACAAAGTGAAAAAAGAACTGTCGTATCAGAACTACCACGAAGCATTATTTCAAAACAAAAAGCATGAAATCACATATAACTTCATCAGAAGTAAGTCGCATCAAATATATTCAATGTCTCAAGTCAAGCAAAGTCTGAGTAATTATGAAAATAAAAGGTTTTATAGTGATGCTTTCACTTCATTACCATATGGGCATTATTCCATAAAATAATTATCTAGATAGTTCTAATAATATGAAATTATTAGAATTATTTTCAGGGACAGGCTCGGTTGGTCGGGTTGCTCGGGATTTGGGTTTTAGTGTTATTTCCCTTGATTTGAAAAATGCAAATATCAATACTGATATTTTGAGATATTCTCGTTTCTCTTGTCTTATAAGTATATTGGGTTTGGGATTGGGTTTGAAACTGGAAATGTGGGTTTGGGGATGAGGTTGAAACTGAACATATTGAAGTTTATGTGTTTGTTGGTTTTGGGGGAGTTGAGAAATGGGAGATTTGGTCCTTGTTTTGGTGGGATTGGGATAACAACAAAAGCAAAAGACCCACAATCCCTACCCGCTCCCTCAACCAAAACCTCATAGACGACAGTGTTGAAGGCGATGTTCTGAATGACGTCTCAACCTCAGGACAGAGCAAATGTGGGGAGCGGTGGGAGAAAAGGGGGTGGTGGTGGTGTTGGTGGTGGTGGTGTACCCCGATTTTGGGGTAAACCTTACCCCATTACCCCGATTTTGGGGTAGCCCTTACCCCTTACCCCAGCTTTGGGGTACCCCTTACCCCGTTTTTGGGGTAGACCTTACCCTTCTCTCAGTATAAACCTTACCCTTGCCCAGATTTCGGGGTAGACCTTACCCTGACTGAGGGGTAATCATCACACATATTTTTGGGGTGTCTTCCAACCTCTGCGGTCGCGCTGTCCTCACATTTTGTTTTACCCTTCTTCCAAGAGCAAAGTCTGGTTTCTGAGCGGGCTGGCTCTCGTCCGTTGCGTTTGCGTACCCCGAAGCCGAAGAAGGTTGAGTGCTCTTGGGTGCCATTGTTCAGACCGAAGGGTTTGAAGCAAAGCAGGGCAGAGTGAGGGCACGATTGATGAGAAATGGCTGTTTGATGGACGACAGGCAAAGTCCAACTGGACGCAATCTCAAACATCAAGTTGTTGAAGTAAATAACGTGGCGACAAGTCAAGCTTTGAAGACTGCTTACCCCTCTCAACACCATTCTTTCACTGGCTCTCCAAACATATGTCTGATACTGGAAGATGTTCAGAGCAAACGACACACTGAGTGTCTGGCTGAAACAATGAAGTAGAGGATGAAGACGTGGCGTGGTGGCAAACGACCGAATTAAAGGGACGAGCGACCCAAAAGCAAACACACCACCAACACCCCAGAACTTGATAACTACTAAAAGGGCTACCTCTTTCAAATGAAAAAAATGTCTGCCCCCAGCCCAACAATGAACAAGGCGACAATTTACCCAAATGATTACCTTAACGAAAACGATAAATAAGCTCCCTAAAAACCCTCTTTTAAAAACGAATAAGGGGGAACACAGATTTGAGATGAACATAAAAACCAGAACAGGCAACCCTCAACAGGCCACCCCCCAGGCCCCCTACTTTTACCATTTTTTGGGGGTGGGGGTGGAGGTGGGGGCGGGGGTGGGGTAGGTTCTTTGGCGCTGGGCGCGCGACCTCTGGGCCTGTCTTAGGCTGTTAGCAAAAACATATGCACCCTGGTGTCAAAGGGCAACTTAAAGGAACAACCGCCTATTTTGAGGGGGCCTCCAAAAAGAGACATGCCCATCTCTCGGTACAAAGGGGACGGGCGCATAAGGAAAAACAAACAAAACTCTGCAAGAAGGGGCAAGCAATCCCTTCATTCCTAAGAATGAGCCCCCCTCATACTAAAACGGATGTTCCTGAACTCAACAAAAACACAATGGAATTGCCAGTTTGCAACAAATACTAAAACAAGGTATTCCCCTACGGCCGTTTTGGGTATTGGGGGTCCCCGGAGAATAAAACAAAAATCAGGCCCGCTCAGGGCAACAAGTTAAATCCCTTGCTTAATGAAAGATGTCACCCCGGACGTGCTTCTTTGTGCCGTGCAAGGAAACTGAACACATGTTGTCGTATGAGAGGGTGCCTTTGATGCGTAGGGGGAAGGATGCGCCAACAGTACCCACCATGCGCAACCCATTTAGAACCCATTTAAACTCTTGGCTTGGTTCTACCAATTCCGTCCATACCCCCCAAACACAGTGGGGCTATTGCCCAACAGTTCCAACCTCAGAACCCCAAGCCCCGACTCTTGAGGCCGTTTGGGCCTCTTTAGGCCATCCTGCACCAACTCCATGCCTACCTGGTCAGGAGTGGCATGAGCCTCTTGGGCCTGGCTTTCGGCGCGTCGTTCACACAATCTGAAGGGACCATAGACATTGCCCACTTGGAGGGGTTGCATTGATTTGCCATGGGTTTGAATTTCATTTGGGGACCACGTAGTGGACATCGTGTAGGTGGAGGTTATTTGTCAAACCACACGCGATCCAAGCCACCTGGGTCTCCAAAATGTGAGGCGCCCCGACCAAAGGGTCCTGCTCCGTAAGATCTTGCTTCCCAATTCCTCGCCAGGAGACCTGGCGATCGAAAACTATCGTGTCCAAAAGCTGATCGGAAACAAGCTCTCCAATTTCTGGACGGCTTTCCCTTTTGTTTCTTGGACGCAGCAATCTAACGAGCAATCTATGGTCCAAGCAAGCAGCCAAATCTAACCTAGCACGTTTTGGGATGGGCTTGTGGGGGGACCACTGAATCAATCTAATGGCATAGGGCTTCTATGACCGCGAAGCCCAGCAGTCGCCTAGGCGACTGAGATGCGCAGCAGGCGCTGAAGACTTTCCGAAAAGGCGCCACGCAGCTGTTGTCAACTCTTGATATGGGCCACCCATGGATTTGTTTGGCACATACTATCGCTGGCCCACAGAAAATATGCAAAAGACACCTTCATCATGGGTGACGTAAACCCCACGAGTGCAGCCGATACGATTTACCCAGATAGAATGCCAAGAGCCTTGTACCTCCGAGGTGGTGTACAGTGGATGTCGCTCGGGAGTCTTTATTCGGAAATCTGCGGCACACGGCTTTCTATCGTTGGGAGCCGGTGGCGAAGTACCTACACCTATTTTGAGCAGCGCCCAACAACCATTGACTTTGGGTTCTACCCAATTGGTGAAGTATGATGATACAGATTTTTACACGCCTTACTGTCGTCCTTGTCCAATTTGGGTATATAAGTATGATGATACAGATATACGCCTTATTATATGCTTGTTCAATCAAACAGTAGAACCACCTGCTAAACCGGCCAATGGGTGTTTTGGGCGCAGATCCCTTGCCCGCCAAAGAGGGGATCTCCGCTGTGCCCAGGCTACGCATGCATAGAACGGGTCGTCCCTAAGCCCAAGGTCTTGGAACGTCTGTATCCAACCGGCTTGGAACGTAGGGGGTTCTGCCCTATCAAACGAATCCCAACAACGACCAGACTCTCAGACGCGACAGCTCCTTCATTGAGCAAAAAAAAGGCCTGAGCCCCGAGGCGTCACGCGAATCCGCGCACGGCGCATGAAGGCCTTCATGTTGCTCACAGAGCTTCTGCTACTCTTGGAGCCTCCACGTGAGTAGGCCTGGTCCTGCGCAAGTCTTCCCTGAGCTTTGTCGCAAAGGGAGCCTAGTCATGGAAGGGGGGGGTAGCCGATTCGGAAAGATGGCATGCCACTTCAGTCTCGTTCCCTTCCTTCGCTTTCAAAAAGGAGGCCTGGTTTTCACTTGACAGAGTTCGGTCCTGTGCAAAGGGGTGCTACATGTTGAAACACGCGCACACAACAAAACAAAACACGCGTACACAAACAAACAAAAAAACAAACAAACAAACAAACAAACAAACAAACAAACAGACAGACAGACAGACCAGACCAGACCAGACCAGACCAGACCAGACCAGACCAGACCAGACCAGACCAGACCAGACCAGACAGACAGACCGACAGACAGACAGACCAGACCAGACCAGACCAGACCAGACCAGACCAGACCAGACCAGACCAGACAGACAGACAGACCGACCGACAGACAGACAGACAGTCCGACTGACCGACCGACAGACAGACCGACAGACCGACAGCCAAAACAGACAGACGACAGAAGACCGACAGACCGACCGACAAAACAGACAGACAGACAGACAAACGGAAACCAACAAAAAGCAACCAACGCACCAACAAAAGGAACAAACAAACACACAAACAAACAAACAAACAAACAAACAAACAAACAAACAAACAAACAAACAAACAAACAAACAAACAAACAAACAAACAAACAAACAAACAAACAAAACAAGAAACCAACCAACCAACCAACAAACAAACAAACAAACAAACAACAGACAGACAGACAGACAGACAGACAGACGGACGGACGGACAGACAGACAGACAGACAAACAAACAGACATACAGACCGAAAGGCGTACGGACGGACGGACGGACAGACAGACAGATCGACCGACCGACCGACAGACAGACAAACAAACAAACACCCAAACAAACATACACACAAACACACAAACCCACCAACAAACACAGCGCACACACACACACAAACCACACAAGCAAATAAACACACAAACACGCAACCACACCAACACACACGCACAAACACACACACAAACAGGCAAACACGCAAACACACAAACACACAAGCACACAACCACACAACAACGCAAGTACACAACCGCACACGCAAACACACACAAACAAACACAAACAAACACAAACAACCATAAACATGCAAACACACAAACACACAAACAATGTTTTCCTGTGAGAACGCCTTACCCGTCTGGCAGTTGGTTACTCGCCAAATAAGACGCTGGAGTTCTCGGAGACATTTTTGGGAAGACGATGGGTATCTTTCTGAAAAGGAAGGTCATCTTCACCCCTGTCTCGTTGCAGCGGTATGAGGTTGAGATCAACCCATTCTCCAAGACAAGATAGGTCTGTACTGTTTTCTTGAGGGTACCCTGCTCACCTCGGCTTAGAAAGCCACAGGAAATCCACGAGCTTTGATCCGTGTTGACGCCTATATAGTTAACTGGTTTCCCCAACCAATCCGAAAAGGGCACTTTCAGTACGATCTCTTTCTTATGCTCTCTTCCCTCCACTCCGTTCCGTAAAAAACGAAGAAGAAAATTAGAAAAGAGCGGGAAAAAATATGGGTGAGTCATAGGAATGGAATGAGTGCACGAAGGGACAGCACTCATCCTCCCTTTCTCACCTCTTAGTCACATCCTAGATACCGAGGAGAAAGGGAGGGGGTGATGAAAGGATGTGAGTGAACAGCTAGACCAAGAGCTGGGACAATGATAAAGTCGTAGAATTTGGACCTGGCCTAAATAGTTAGAAGCGGGTTGTGGGATAGCTGAAAATGACATGTCGTCATGACTTTTGCAGTACACGACTCGTAACGCCTCGACCCCTTGCATCGCCGTTCCCAGATCCCCTGCTAAAAGCCTAACTCTTGGCAGCTTAGTGGAAACTACCACTAAACCTAAAAAAAATATTTAAAAAAAATAAAAATAAAAAACTGGGGCTGGACACCCGATTGCCCAAAGCCTTTCAGGACCCAGATGCCTGGGACCAGTTCCCTGGGCCAATTTTCGTGAGGCGAGCGGCCGCCCCGAGCGGCTCCCGTCGCTCGCAGCTCGGCTCCTCATCCCAGAGGTCCAGGTCAATGAGCATCACGTTCCGCGAGGCCGAGACCTGGCAGCTGGGCCCCGAGCCGAGCGGAGCGATCCGGGGGATCCGGGGGGAAGCAGGTACCTGAGCTCAGGCCGAGACCCGGTTTTGGTGGGGATGTCCCCGGCTTCAGTGGGGTTTTCGTTTTTTGTTTTTTCTTCTTATTTTTCGCTTTTGGAGGGGAACAGCCCCATAGGAATAAACAGGGGGTTATTAATCCGGGGTCAACATTAACTTGGAACCCGCCAGCTGTACGCAGAATAGGTGTAAAGGAAGGTGGATTTCCTTCATGGATTGAACCGCCAGAACCAGACTGTGGATGCGAAAATCCGTGGATCTCGCACCGTGCAGAAACCCTGGTTTTTGATGACCCCCCTACAAATACCAACAAACACATGGTCTCCCATGCTTTCAAAGTGGTGCGAAATGGATTGATTTCTCCATCCACATGTGTCCTTGGAAAGTAGATGGAGGTAAGATGAAACCGTACCACCAGGAAAACCAGGAAGCGCCCGAGTTCTCAAGCAAACCAAAAAGGACACCCATGCGCCGCGAAGAACCGGATCCCAAGATCTCACTTGAGGCCCGGTCTTGGGATGCCATGGCCGCGCTCTTAAAAGGTGATGGTCAAATTGCCATGGGTCAAAATCCAAATCGGCTATCCCCCAGTGGACGGCCCCATCCAACCACTAAAATACGTTCTAAAATAATTCACCTACCCCGAAATGGCCATTGGTTTTGACCCACAGCCAAATCTGTCGGAAAACTTGGCCCACAAAACAGGGGGGGACACAAGGGCCCGATTGAAAAGGAAAATGGTCCAGAACCCCACAGTCAGGTTCCTTTTGTAAGTGGACAGGAGGGCAGAAAGTATACAGATATTGGTATAACATGGCTCCCCCCACAGAATTCCCGAACGGTTGCAAACCAGCCAAAAAAAGGGAACTCCAAACACCCCCTGACTAGCTTTGACATGACACCCGCCGTCCACTGGCTCCAGTAGAGCTGCTTTGCAAAGCGTGCCTCGATGTTCCAGTAGCCTTGGCAGCGCCAACATTGGCGCGTGAATCAGGAGCTGATTCAGGTGGGAATCTCCTTTTGGGAAGTGCACCTTTTCGGGTTCCAAGAACAAAGAAAACAAACAGCGGTCACAATCAAAGCTTAGTCATTTTGGCTGTGGGTCAAAACCCTGTACCCCTGGTGAACATCAAAATAGGTGTCAAATGGACGAAATCCTGCACCACCTCAGGATCCCTGGACCGATGATTCCCCTATAAATACCAACACAGAATAGTTTCCCATGCATTCAAAGTGGTGCAGGATTTTGTCCATCCACAGTAGGTTTTGCCCCGTGGCCATTTAACGAGGCGACCCAACGCCCGTGATCGAACGGCCGCCGTTGTTACCACGATGTTCTGGTCGGGACCTCATGGAAGTGCCAGGTTCGTCCAGGATCAATACTCCAGGGGTTGATTCCTGTTCCATTCTGTTCAGCCGTCGTTCTTTTCGAAAACAAGCCCTTTCCCCAGGGTTTCTTGTGGTTTTCTGGAAAGAAGGATCCCTGAAAAAGAATGGAAGCTACCCCTAGAAATACGATGTTCCAGAAAAGTGAAGGTATGGGGACAACCCCCGATTCCCATTTTATGCATTTCCTGGGCTCCAAGGCTCAAGCTCCAACGACCAAAGTTTTGATTAGGGCCCAACCATGTGTCCGCGTCAGTCGCAACCCAAAAAGTCGGAGACACCTGAAGCCAAGAGCATTGACCGCTTGCCATGCTAGGTCAACAGGGACTGAAAGAGTTGAACACCGCAGATTGCTCTGATTCTATGGTTCCGCATGCCCGCACGTTGGCCCTGACCGCTTGCTTCAAGCAAGCGCTGGCGCAGAGCAGCCGAGCTACATAGTTTCTTGGATGCCATGCAGCGCAGGATTGACCCCCTTGGTACATGGAACCAAAGACTAAAACCTGCGTAACCCTAGCTCTTGAATTTTGAGCCACACCCATATCAGGTTTCGACTTCTTGGGTCGCCGCTTGGATATGTGACTCGTCTTTTGGGGGCCCGACATATGTCTGGAAACCTTACGTGGGTTCTGTCTTCAAAAACCCATTCCTCGCAACCCGGTCCTCTGCGGGGTCTTCAATCAGGAGCCCGTCAAGCCATAAAGGGATCCTCTTCTAAATGGGCCTGTCTCAAAAAATGGAACCTCTTTTGCTTGGTGTTCAAGACGGAAACCAAAGAGGAAACCAACCGTTTTAAGGGGCCACTATGTTGAGAAATCCCCAATTGGGTTCTAGGATGCTACGCACATGATTGTGCTGCGCAAGCGATCCGAACCTGTTCATGACCAGCGACCCGAAAGGTCGAATTGGGGGCAAATTCTGCTTTTGTGGTTTCGCAAGCCAAAGATTCGGGGCCTGGTCACCATTCTTAGCGGAGCCTGCAATCCACAGGGCCCAAAACCTATAGGTTCAACTGCAAACAAAATAGCCCTCAGAATCGGTTCAAAAAGGCACACTTTTTTGGGGGCGGAACTGCTAAGGGCAAAGGACATGGACCCTCAAAACACTCAAACCAGCCCCGAACAGCACTCCTGACCACCAAAACAACGAAACAGCCGCTGCTCGCACCCTACCTACCCGTTTCGAATCGAAACCCCTCTCTGCTCTGGTGAGGTGGTCCCAAACAATCCTTTTGCCAGGCAGCGATCGTGGCCGTTCGCATCAGGGCCCTGGCAGAATGGCAGAAAAGCAGCCGCTCGAGCCCGCCCTTTGACCCAAAGACGCCGCTTGTCTCCGTCATAAAACCGAACGGTTGCCGTTACAACTTACTAACTTGGCAACCCAAGGGTCAAAGTGGCCTACCCAGCAACCAAGCCCCGACTTTTTTCGAGGTCTTTAGGGCGTCAGTCGGGACCGCATGTTTTACTAGGTCGTCCAGTAGAGGAGTTAGAATAAGGGTACCCGATTTTTTTCTGTAGCCTATTTTAGTAGGGGAACCCTCCCAACCAAAAAAGGATAAAAGGGCACTACGGGGGGACCTAGATAAGGTCCAAGGGGATCCTGGCGATACAAACCTTCTACCCGAATCAGCCGGGACTCCCTCGCGACAAGCCATGCCGTGGAGAATGGCCCCCTTGCACCAAAATGGGCCATGGCGGTTCATGTTTTTGTGCTCATTTTTTTTTGGTATTTCTCACTTTGCTGCTTGGTCATTTTGCTGCTTGCTCATTGTGTTGCTTGGTCACTCTGCTTGCTCATTTTGCGGCTTGGTCGCTTTGTTGCTTGGTCATGTTGTTGCTTGGTCTCTCTGCTTGCTCATTTTGCTGCTTGCTCATTCTGTTGCTTGGTCACTTTGCTGCTTGCTCATTTTGCTGCTTGCTCATTCTGTTGCTCGGTCACTTTGCTGCTTGCTCATTTTGCGGCTTGGTCGTTTTGTTGCTTGGTGATTTTGTTCTTTATTCATTTTCAGGGGGGTTCTTGGTACAAGGGCCGGAAGGTTCGGCTGTTTAAACGAGAGTGGTTTCAACTGGTTCAACAAGGGGTTCAATCGACAAATTCTTTGCATACCACTGCCGTTGCAATTCGTCCACTGGAACCATCTGCTGGGGATGGACAGGATGGATGAAACCCTGCACATCTATGTCCAACACCTCCTCTGTGCGTGTGTGTGTCGCAGTACTCTTTCCCCCACTCAGGGCATGACCACAGCCCAAAAGTGTCTAGGTCCTCCAGTAGACAGGATAGAATAAGTTGGCACCCTATTTTTTCCTGTAGTCTATTTGTGTAGGGGAATCCGAATCTCCCAACCAAAAAAGGTGATAAAAATGGGCCCCAATCGCTGGGGGACCTAGAAATGTCAACTCCAGGCACTCGGGCCCGCCTTCACCACGCTGTCGCAGTCCGCGTAGCAGGTCTCCGGATAGATCTTGGCTCACCGCTGGAGGCCAGGGCATGCTGCCGATGTGGCCATGGGCTTTGCAAAAGCCCCATCGGTTAGCCCCCAGTGAACATCAAAACAATCCAACCACTAAAATAGGTCCCGAAAGGGGTGGTGAATTCACCTACCCCAAAATGGTACCGTTGGTTTTGACCCAGCCATGTTTTTTTCTTGAGAGCCCCTGCGAGAATGCTCACTGTACGGTGTATGGTCTCAATATTGCAAGCAGGGAACAAGGAAACCCACCGAAAATTAAACCATGGTTTGTGGTTTGGTTACCTGCAATAGTGAAGCCACCGCAAACTTCCACATTTAGCAGTACAGGGGAAACTGGCTTTCAGAACATCCCCCAAAAGTGTTTTCTATTTGGAGTAGGGAAACCCTTAGCCCGCTCAAAGGGAAACCAAATGGAAATTCCATCAAATGCCAGCCGATGTCAAGGGGCAGGACCAGTTGCCAGTGTTAACAGCTCCAGCTGCAAGGAAAACCATTGTGTTTTGGGGATCTCTACCATGAGTTTCCATCGGTGCTTGGGTGTTCGGCCGGCCAAGCTAGCCAGTTGTAAGTAAGTTGTAACGGTATCCATTCGGGTACCCACTTATATGTCCCCCAAGTGGGGTTAACCTTGGGGGGTGTACCCCAACTTGCTAACCACTAACTTCGCTAGGTACTCTCAAAAAAGCACATCCAAATGTGGCCAATCACACATAATCGTTCAGAATAGTCCATTCTGCACTTACCACGATTCGCCAATGGAACTGAAGCATTTGTAAGAGATGTTAGTGGACTTCATCGTACCCCGCTTTGCTCACGGGATCGCAGGTGAACATCTCCCACTTCAGAAGGACTGGTTCATTCCTCTGCTCAGATGCGCGAGATGGCGCGAGTGGGAACCCCAGATTAAACTCATCTTACTGAAGCACGGAAGTGAAGGAGTTGCCACTCAAAGCGGACACCTCCGATCAAAACGAAACAGGGGTTTCTGAATCCGGGGTTAACATGTGGGTCCGTCTTTTTAGGGGACCCAAATGGCGGACGTCCTTTGAAAGCCAAACACAGGGGGGCTCCCCGAGAAAACAGACGCGCCCATCTCTGGCTCTTCTTGGGACACGCTGAATCCCGTGCACACACGGTGCGGGAAGCCTCGAGCAACTTCGGGGAATGCCGGCCTGGCATTCCCGCGTGCGGCCCTTCTTGCCCTCAAAGAAACACCATCCCTATATAGTGAACCTCTTATCTTATCTTCTCAAAGAAACACCTCTTATCTTATCTTCTTATCTTATCTTATATAGTCAACCTTGAACTTCAAAATGATGTCACGTGGGAGATCCCAGTTTACTTGCATGGCTATCATCTATTATCAAAAATGGCTTCTTCAAGAGGTCATGGAAAAAATGGGTTGTGTCGGGGGAATGCGAGTTCGCTCATGTGGACTCATGATATCGTCAGTCATGATCTCTCACAAGGCAGATAAGCGTGCGAAGCTCTTGTGTGAACTCCTGGCTTCAACTAATTCATCAAGACACCAGGTCCAACATGAATTCCCATAGGTTCAGGGTTGTTGCTTTAAGGGGCCAACATCGAATCTGGTTGCTTAAACCGCCTGTGCAATCCTCAAAGCCTCAAAAAATGGGAGATAGCCCATTTCGAAATGAAGGCGGGAACTCGGAAATCCCCATCTCTCCAGAAAAACACCGGTTTGCATCTAGGAACCAACCACATGGCTTCCGCATCCGGGTTCCGGAAGTCACCCACTGGCTTTTCGAGTTGTTTGCGCTCGAGGCCGGCGCCAGCTGCCGCCAGTCCCGGTTTCTCAGGATCTGGAAGCGCTGATTGCCCTTGGGCATCGTGGCCTAAAGCCGTGGTGTGGTAGCACAAAAAACTTTGGTGATTTTGCAGCCCTTGCAGCAAAAATGAAGAGAACCAAAAAACAAAACAACCAAAACAACCAAAACACAGGCCAAGAACAGAGAAGTCTAGTGACAAACCAACCACCAGAACCACCACGGTCCTGTGGATGGTTGCGAAATGGGCTTCTCGCACCACCGTTCAGAAACCCCGTTCAAAAACCCTGGTTTCTGATGAGTCCCCTGTAAACACCGGCGAACAATAGTTTTTCTTGGTTTCCAAGTGATGCAAAATGGATTGCGTCCATCCGCACTAGCATATTAGGGGCGCCTTGGCAACAAGCCAAAAAGACCAGTCGGGCAATGCAAAGTCCACAACTTACGGCAAAGTGGGGGCGGTACTTGCTCTGTTACGTGCAATATTTGCATCCACAGCATGGCCCCCCCCCATTCATCGGACACCAGCACGACAACAAATGCCCCCACAAGCCGGGTCCGGGAGGAACCTTCCGGGCTCTGGAACCATTCTGGCAATCGCCCTGCTAAAGGACGAAACACGAGCCCCAAAAGATGAGGAGCGAAGACCAACTTGCAAATGGGCAACAAAATTGGGGGGGGGGGGGCCAAATGAGCCAGAGTCAATGCTCGGGAGTCTACTAAAAAATCGATGCTTAGTTCCCCTTTGACACTGGAAGTTGGTGAAAAATGGCAGCTAAGAAACAAATCAATTCTTGACCGTCACTCACGTCATGGAACAAGTTTAATGACAAACATCACAACCCCATGCTTTGCTTTGCTTTTCTTTCGGGGGGGGAACAAGTTTAATGATAAACATGACAACCCCATGCTTTTCTTTTTTTGGAGGGGGTTCCCCCCCCCCCGCTACTCAATGCATCCCCGCATGGAGAGCGCCCACCTCTTGCGGGGCTTTTGGCCTAGCTCGCGCGCCTTGATGGAGAAGCGGCCCACGCCCTCGTCCTCCAAAGTCATCTCCTCCGGTTGCCAGTCCTCGCTGTCGCCGACCGCCGGGACCCCTCGGCTTCCTCCCCCCCCCCGCCGCGTCGAGGACGGCGCCTGGCCTAAAACATGCCTTCCGCCTTCCGTGGAAGGAAGATGGGGACCTGAAAGGTTGGGGTGCGGGGGTTGCTGTTGGGGATACCTGGGCTTGGTGTTGGCGTGCTTTGTTTGGTGCTTTGGAAGGACAAGACAGGGGGAACAAAAAACCCCTCTGTCTGCGCCTCGTTTTGGGGAAAGCCGCTCTTCTCGGCTCCAGGTGTGACGGGAAAATTAAGATTTAAAGGCACACATGAGGTTGCGCCCACAATGGCCGGCTTAGAGATCCATGCCAGGACATTGGAGAAAAGCACGAATGCCCCGGCAGCTTCTCCACCCGCCCAAATCCCATCGAAGATTTGCAGTGCCCTTAACTGGGCGGTAACTGATCCCTGGAAGAGCTTTACGGAACCGGATCGCTGGGAACCACCAAGTTGATGTTCACCCTGGATTCAAAAAACCCTTCCTCATACAGGAATTCGGGGTCAGGTGAGGCATCTCCTCTGAAAGCCCCTTAAATATGAATTCAACAGGGCTTTGGTCATTCGGAAGTGTCCATGGTAGCCTCATGTCTTCAGGGTTCCCTTTTTGGTCAATGAAAAAAGGGAACCCAAAAGCACACCGCAAGCTTGGAAGCCCCCTATTTGGAACAAGGGCTCGGGGGCCCAAGGGCTCGCAGGTGCATGGCGCGCAGGGCCCAGCTCAGGAGCGCGCGTTCCAGCTGCCCACTATGAAGTAGCGACCTCAGCTCTCTCGAGACGCGGGGCCCTCGCGACTTCAGTCGCCTTTCTCCAACTTGAAGCGACGCCGCTTTTTGGGCCGAACTGACTTGAAAGCGGCCTCTAAACGGTGCGTGTCAAAAAGCAGCTGCCGGGGAATCCAGCAACAAAATGGCCGGTCTTCCATTTGGCCTCCCTTTCAACCCCCCCCCAAAAAAAAAACCTCGCCGATTTCGAGGCGGGGATCCCGGGACAGCTTCAGGTCGCTGGGACTTCGTGCCCATCGTCTTTGGAAGGCCATTCCGCTGCACGTTCTGTGTGTCCAGCCTCACAAAAAAAAGAGAGGATCGGATCTGATCGGCATATTAAAGCTTTAGGGTGTCTTTGGGTGGCAGTTGAGGGAACATGGGAAACAATGCATAGGGGTTTCTCAGTTTGGGTGTGCTTTTAGGAGACCCCCTCTTAAATGGTAAACCAACCCTCAAAACGGGTACGCAAAAAATGGACACCCCACTTGGAGATGATCAACAGAGCACCTCTTTCGACCCTTAGAACCCTTCCAGCACCTCTACCCAAGCTTCCTTTTCGGGGGTGCCCTATAGCCCAAACAAACTGCCCGAACCTTTCCTGGGTTGGGATGCGGGTAAAATCGGACTCCGCGCTTCATTCCCGCCCGCTTTGTGGCCACGGAGGGCATTTTTTTCTCCCAAATCGAGCCAGCCCTCTGGGGTCCAACCGACCTTCGCCCAAGCCTTTGCCATCAACCCCCCCCTTCACGTCCCGAAAACGTCGCTGCGCAACCCGTCGGTCAAAAAAACTTTCATGTGTCCAACTCACGATGCCCCCACTGAACTCTCCAGTTGATCCCTGAGAAGTGAAAAACTGTTGGTGGGCTATGTCACCAACATAGCAACTCTCAAGGTCAACATGCTGAAAGTCGAGATCAAAGGAAGACGTCGACATCAAGAACGTTCAAAGCACCCGAAAATACCGCGGTGCTTCCAAGCACCACTAGACCAGATGTGTTCCCCCCTTTTTAGCAATATACTACAACCGGGAACCCGGAAACCCGGAGCACCAAAAACCCCCGACTTCGACTCCAAAACGCCCCAACGCAACGCCGGAGCCGCCCAGCGCCTCTCCCAGGTCACCGCCCGAAAGCGGCCCTTGATCTGAAGCTGCACCTGGCGCAAGCGAGGCGAGGCTCGGCGGTTCTTTGGGGCAGGGCCTTGATGGAGACTCACACGGAGAATTTAAAAACGGAAATACATTCCAAAAACGAAAATACATTCCATGGATCTGTCTTGAGCCCTTGATTGGGTCCATTGGGTCCCACAAAGAAAAAAAGAAGGAACACCATTCCATGGCTTGGTTGGTTCTTTCGCGCATGTTTTTGCTGTGGAAGTACGGTGGATGCCAATTCCATATTGCGAGTAAACCAATCATACAATGGTAAACTGGATTTAAAAAATGGAGGTGTCCCTGTTCCCTGGCAAAACAAACAATGCGACATCCACCGTACAGGGAGCCCCGTGCGAAGCAGGCCTAAGTCCACCGTACAGGGAGACTCCTCCTGTTCCTTTCGATTTCGACACGAAGAAAGTCGCCTGGAACTGATCCCCTGGCTGGCCCACGTCCACGCGCGGCCTGCGGTGGTTCCAAGTTCTGTGTGGACGAGGGGGATTTTGGGGATGTACGGTGGATGGACGAAATTGGTTTGCACCACGAAATGAATCCATGGTCGAAACCATGATTTTGTTGGTATTTTACGGGGGGAATCATCCGAAACCAGGGTTTCTCGGGTGGTGCAGGATTTCGTCCACCCACAGTATGCCCACTTGTCAGGGGGTTCATCTTAATTTGCATACCCATGTGGGTTTGTCTAGTGGGACCAACATGAGCGGTTTCCCTTGGTATCCCTTTGGAACGACCCAAGAAAGACATACCCATATCCCCCAAAATCAACATGGATCCCTCTTTTGAGGGATCCCAAGGGAGTTTTCTCTATAAGGGTCTCGGGGTCCAATATGCTAAATCCTTCGGGTGGCTCGAGAGCTACAATCATGGTGAATCCTTTTTGGCCTTGGGACATGACCCTCTTCAACAATCAAGATTCCCAGAAAACATTTTCTCAGATTCTTGAATCTTGAATCTTGAATCCAGATTTGTTTTAATTGTTCTTCAATTTAAGTTATTGTCGCACATGTTTCGTGGTGCCATCAAATTCTTCAACGGGCCGTTTTCGGCCATTCGCACTCGATGTCCGCCAACGAAACACACGGCCAGGCTGGCCTTCGGGCTCTTCAGAGCCGGACTCGGGACTCGCCAACCCAACCAATGGTGGCTTGTCCTTTGGCTTTTCAAACCCAACAAAGAGTACCCTCAAACCATTCCACGAAAAGCCATGGCTGATTCGGGAACAGGTTTCGCATGGGTGCTTGATGATTTGGCAATCGCTTTCCTGAGAACTCTGTTGGTCTACAACGGATCGCCGCGTAGTTCTTTGATTCATCCGAGGCTTCCTACACAACTGGACCCAGCCACAGGCCAAGGTGATGAAAGCCGCTCAGAGAACAGGACTCTCAGGCGTCCCCCATTTCTGACAACTGAAGTGGCAACGGAGAGTAATAAAACATGGTATGGGTCAAAATATGTAGACAGCCTCAGGCCCCCCCCCAAAAAAAAAGAAGCTCCCGTGATATCCCCAACAGCATGCGGTGCTCTGTTTAGTGCTCGGGCCACCCCCCAACCCTCGCAGAACCTCGTGGAACCCTGGTGGAACCCTCATGGAACCCTGGTGGAACCCTGGTGGAGCCCTGGTGGAGCCCTCGTGGAACCTGACCTCAGGCCGCCCGGACCACCCCGGGAGAATATCTGGGCTGAGACCCCAAAGCTTTCAGCTGTTGGGAAGAAAAGGAGAAAGAAAAGAAAAAGAAATCCGGATCAACTGCACCGCTACTAAACAGTAGAGTAGCGTGCAACCCCAGAATTCACCAAACCTAGAGGATTGTCCCTTGGGTGGGCCCCCCCATCTGCATCCGTTGCTTCAGACGCAAGCCGCGAAGGACGCCTGTCAGCATCGCCGCTTCCTGCCACGATTTCGAGCCGGCACCATCGACCCCGGTGGAAGTCTTGCTTGGGAAGAATGAGTGCGCGGCTCCCATGTAGCTTCTCTGGGGCATCCCTTAAAATAAGGTTTTAAGACAAATGCAGATATTTCCGAACCCGTGGTGACCCCTGGTGTGAACGGGTCCCCCCACAAACCGGAATCCCTATGGCAGACAGTAGCAAAAGATCGATCCGTGGGGGGGTCCATGGTTGCGCGTTGCGAAAGCAAAATCGGCGGGTCCATGGCAATCAACTGCGACCTGCGAGGCTCAGAACTCCAAGAGGACGTCGTGGTCCTTTGGAAACCCTGATCCCAAGCCATGAAAAGGTGGATGATCCCAAGCCAGGATCAAAAAAAGGTGATTCGACGTCTTGCACGTGTTGAACACCGGGTTCTTGGGCTCAGTGGACTTTCGGCGTAAATTTACTGGAAGCCCAGGTTGGCCGTGTCAGGTCTATCGCCACAAAAAAGGACCTGAAATCCCCTGGTTGTGGCACAAAAAAAACAAAGAAACAGAACACCATAGGTGTCCTTTTCGGGGAAATAGATTTCCCTGGTAGATAATTCAACCACCAGGTAAACCAGGAATCGCCATCTATTTGTCTATCAAAACAACCAAAAAGGACACCTATGCAGAACACCTTTAGCCATTTTAGGGCACCGTCTTGTTTTGTTGGAGAAAAAAAGGACCGTCCTCCTGGATCGGGGTCGGGATCGCTTCAAAAAAACGGAAAGCACTCCGGAGCACGCCAAGCATCCGAAGATGAAGCTCGGCTTTGTCTCAAACTAAGCTTTGGATTTGGATTCTAGAAGGCACATGGAGTTTCCCACCCCACACCTCCAAACCTCCAAACCGCCGGGAAGCTGACCCAAAAAAAATCGGGCCGGGAAGCTGCCACCCCAAACAACACACACACACAGACACACCTGCCCCGCCTGGCCGCGTGTCGATGACCCAACCAAAAGGCGCCACCTGCCGAGCTCGGGTCGAGAGGTTTCATTTCGACTTAGGGAGCCGAAGTTCTCACTCTGCGCTTTCCGCTGAGGCTTCGTGAGCGATTGTTCGTGCAACCCACAAAACAAATCCAGGCCGATTTGAAGGCCCGGAAGGGGGCCTTCATAGGGTATTCTGCACCACAAAAGTCGTTTGCCCCCGGCTACAAATGGGCGTTAGGAATTTCTGGCAAGCATATGAAGTCGACCTTGAGATGTGAAATCATGTCGAAAGAGGTTTTAGGAATCATGTGCTGCAAGCTGCAACCGCTTTGGTGGAACACGTTGAAAGTCTCTGCCCCATCCTTTCTGGTGGACACATAGGCGCTATTCAATCACCTTCGTTCGGGTACACGTAGACTCTCAGTGTCCATGCCCCTCCCCTCCCCCCCCTCAGCCTGACAACAGTGATTGATCAAAAAAATGGACGTTTAACTTAGCTCAGGGATATATTTGGGTCCGTGTTCCAACACACCCAGGGGCAAAGAATGTCAACCAGCCTGCTCTTCAAGTGAGGTCCGCAACCTTCAAGTCCCCTGCAACGTTCACCTCCTTGAATGCATAAGCACAGTCACATACAGGCAACCGAGCACATGTCAAACAGGGGACCCGAAGAATGGCGGCGGTCCTTTGTGTTTCCCTTGACACCAAGATGGAAAAAGGTACCAACTCCAACAAACAACGCAACCATTTTGCTCAATGCATACAAGGACTTCCAGCTTTCAAGTTGCATTGTCTAATTTCCTGATGGCTCAAGTTCACGTAGTCTACACCTTCTGAGTTCCTCCAAAATTCCAAAACATACACAAGGAGTTCCAAGGGAGAGTAGAAAATGCAACTTCCCCCTTTTGTTCCAGTCTTCTTTATTTACCTAAAGTTTGCTTTGCTCTCTGGAAAGGAAGCATCGAATTGCCAGAGCTCCACTCATGGGTGGCTCGTCAACGGTGTTTTGTTCTTTTTCTTTTTTTTCTCTGTGGGTTGCCCTTTAAAAAGCCAAAAAACAAGTACCCTCAAAACTCAGACACGCCTGCAAAGGGAAACTTTGTGCCGTGCGAGAGGGCGAGAGGACCGGCGACAACTCTTCCGGTACCAGCCCTGGACTGAGGCGGTGTAAATATTGTTCCGCTTCGTACTGTAGTTCTTGCACAATGGCCAGGACGTCACCGGTGGTGTAAACTTCATGCCATTTGGGTGCGTCAAAATCGGCTGCCCACAAGTACCCAGAGTGGCGCCAAAGATTTGTTTGGTGGTAGAGTGTTGGTTCCTTCGAGTCATTCTCCAAATTCCCGAAGAACCAGCTTTTTCTGGAGGTAGATGCAGCATGTTCCATCTAACATATCTCAAAATAGGGAAGTTCCATGCCGCATGTTCTTTGCAACAGCTTGGGTGTCCATTTTGGAGAGTGCCCCTTTTTCTGGGTGCGTTAAAGGCAAACTCAAAAACGGACAACCACCATGTTAGAGAGGGTAACCTAAAAAACCACACCCACCCGCATTGAAATTGAGGAACCACCTTTCCCATGTTCCCTCAAAACCCAGCCCAAAGACAACAAAGGTCTGACATGCCCATCGGATCCGATCTGGCCGTTGTTTTTTTTGTTTTTTTTCTTCGCTGGACACACCCATCCCTAGGTCTTCCAGTAGAGAGGTTGGAAGAAGGGTACCCCTTTTTTCTGTAGTCCATTTAGTAGGGGAACCCTCCCCCAAAAAAAGGAACGGGTGAGAAAGGGCACCTAGCTGGGGGACACACCCATCCCATCCCATCGCCATTCCGACTCGACGACTCTCCGCGCGAATCGACGACCCTCGCCTGGCCGTAGGCGTGAGGCCCTTGCACCTTGGCGGTACTTTGCGCCCGCGCCTCCGCTGGGTGCAGGATCCTCTCCCGCTCGCCTCAAAGGCCGAAAGCGGCGAAAAAGCGCGGGAAAGCGGCGAAGCCGCGGAGTCGAACGCAAAGGACACGGAAGGACCGGCGGCCGTTCTGAGGATTTATATCTCTTGCTGTTGTTTTCTGTTTTGTTGTGTGTGACCGACTGTGTGTGTGTGTGTGTTTGGGTTGTTGTTGCTTTGTTTGGCTGTGTCTCTTTTTTTGTTGGGGAGGGAGCCATTGTCACATGCCTTGGGGATGTGGTGGTCAAGAATGCGTTGTTTCATGTTTTGCTTTTTTCGGGATTCGCTGTGTCGGTGTGTGTGTGTGCGCGCACAAGGAAAACACAATTCTGAGAAAGAAAAAACATGTGTACCAACAAAACGAATGGAATTTGGTTTTGGATGAGTTTGAACGGCGAACCAGCAACAGAGTTCCAACAAAAGTTACACGCATGGTTGAAACATGTTGCTGGTTTTTCTCAGCGCTCACGCTGGCCTCTCTTTCAGAAAAACCATGCTTTATCCACTTAGCATATGGAACCCCAGTCTTGAACCCACAAAGAGAAGCCTTACTTCAGAAAAATACTCGCAGCAAGTACATTGGCTCGTCCCCTGGAACAACCACCTTCCCCGCATTTGGGCATGGCTTGGGTATTGGTTTTAGGGTTTGGCAAGACTCCCGCGACCTTAACTGGCTTTCTTGGCCAGTGCCCCCTGCAAGCTTCGGGTATAGTGAACCGTAGACTTTCTGTTGCATCCACCTGCTCCGGTCTTTTCTGCTATGGTACCGCCAACAAACCAAAAAAAGACCTACATGAGGCGCCCCGGAGCTCAAGCTTCATTTATTGCCCAAGAACCGAAGAGGGGGAACTTTGCTCGCTCAAATGGGCCGTCGAATCAGCTCCTCTTCGTCCGCACGTTTGGTCCATCAAAGCCATGAGTTCTTGTTTTGAGCCGCTTCACCTGAAGCGGCTCCCCGTTCCAACAACTGGCCCAAGAAGAGGCGCGCACAGCTTTTCGACCATGCCTGGATTCCAACCATGTTCAAGCAAACTGACAACAACACGACAAAGGGAACCCCTATCCCAAAACCTCAGAAGAAAAAATATCACATGAGGGCCCAAAAGACCCCAAATTTGGACCTAAGCTGGGCCTTGGGAGTGAAATATCTCAGCACCTGGCCGTCCAGCCAGATCTGGAACCATTCGCAGCCATGCTCCCCCAGCGTCACTGTGTAGCTAAACCTCGCGACGCGCTTCCTTCCGCCGATTCCCCACCCCATCAAAGAGGACCTGGTGGTACCCCCATTTTGGGTCTGTACTGTTGACCCCATGTCTTTTTTCATAAACCCCAGTTTATCAACCTGGCTTTCGTGGGGGTTCAGACCATGTTCTTCGCGTTGGCGAATGTTGTTCGCGAAAAATGCAGAAGCTTAGTCCACGGAGCTTTGAAAAGCGGCTTGACCGAGACCCCATGCTTTTCATAAACCCCAGTTTATTCATATGGTGGATGCTTCTCAACCTGGCTTTCAAAGGGGATTCAGAGACCACTTTGGGAGGGGAGCACCCCCCCATATGAATAAACAGGGGTTTGTGAATTTAGGGTCAACATTACCGGGAAATCCAAAAGGAAAACCATTTTTCTTTCTTTTCTTGTTCTTGCCTTTTTTGCGGGGGTGAAAACCGACACACCCAATTTTTACCACAGAAAGGCACCAACAAGGAATCCTAAGCCTTGTTCGCTGGGGTCCGGGGAACCATAGGATTCCGACCCAACTGCGAGGATTTGGGGATCCGGGGATCGATCCCATTTTTTGCGGGTTGGCTAGGGAAACCAAAAGGGAACCATCTTGGGGTAGTTTGGCCTGCCAACCATCCCAAATATCCTCCAAGAGCCAGCCCTAGGAGTGAGAGCGTAATTTCAACTTTGATTCCCTTTTGCCCTACCCCCGAAAAGTTCTTCGCGCAGCTTTCCCTTACCAAACGGTCAAGATACTCCCCAAAAACATATATACATGGGTATGGGTCAAAACTACACCACCACGTGACCACAAGTTTTCGTCATTGTTTCCATTTACCAGGGTGCATTTGGTTTCCTATGTTTTTGACCCACCGCCACATTTTATCCGCCCCTTTTTTGGGCGCCAGGGCCCCTGCTGGTCCAGCCCCTCTCCCTTCATGGTCTGCGGAGTGTCCATCAAGGACCACGATCCCACGATGCTGCAGCCTCCGCACGTTCCAAGCCCCGAAACGAGGGATCCAAAACGAGCGGCCGCTTTGATGGGCGACCCGTCAAGAATGAAAAGCGGGGAGAAACCGTGGCGCTAAGAAAAAAATCGCATGTGACCCAACGCAAAAGCAAAAGCAAAAGAAAAGCACACGTGCTGGTCGTGTTTGCATCAAACACCTAGGGGACCGCAAAACGACGAAACGGGGAAAAAAAGCGCGGGGTGAACATATGCGTGTCGTTGTGTGCGCACAAGCAAAGGGAGAGGCCTTGGTTTGAAACCAAGGTTGGGCAAAATGTGTGTGTGTGTGCCATGGTCAAACTCCGAAATATGAAGCATTATAATGGTTATTTAGGATCCTCACTACCAAACGGATGACCACCAAGGGGTCTGTTCACTCCCGAGAGAAAAAACAAAAAAACAAAAACTACCCCACTTTGGGATTTTAGAGCCTCAAAGCAACTCCTCGAGAAACCACATGAACCTTGATAACAAGTTCCTGTTGGTTTGCCTTCACCAACCACCAAAAGGGGCTTTTCAAAAAAGACCCCCTAAGTGGGGTTATACCCCAAGTAGCCAACCACTTCCTAGCTTGGCCGAACATCCAAGTGGAAACTCCTGCCCATTGCACCCAAAGCCTGACCCTGGGTTCTAAGGCACACGAGGTCAACCATGAAAAAGCTCTTGGTTTCACCCAAAAGGCTCCAAAAGGGGTGTGTCTCAACGCCTTGCCGTCATGAAACCGCTGTTGGAGAGTCGGGTTACAGATTCAAAGCCGCCACCCCCCATGCAACCAAAAATTATTCTCAAAAACTCCCTTACCATCCCCAGCAACCTATGGTTTTCCCATGAACCACATTATTCCAAAACGCCCTTACCAGCCCCCACGAACCCATGGTTCTCCGGCTCAAAAAAACACCAGGAGGGCTTTTGAGCTCCCCATCCCATGAAACCCGGGTCTCTTTCCCCCGCAAGGCTCTGCCGGGACCCGCCGGACCCATTGCCTCGGCGTGGCTCGCAGGCGGGGTCCAAGTCCCCGCCGCCGCCCGGCCAAAAGGCCAAGACCTCCTGGCGGCTGCTGGCGGTGGCCGGCGCAAAAAACAACGCGGCGGCTGCGAAGGCGCAAAAGACAAGCGCGGGGGGCGGGGACGTCATGGCTGGGGTAGAAGTGCCAGGGTGTGTGTGTGGGTGTGTATGTGTATGTGTATATATATATATATATATTGTATATATATATATATATATATGTCAGTGCCATATGGTTGGGTGTATGGTGGGTTGCACCAGACCAGGTATATGTCGTTGCCAGGCCATACGGTTGTTTTGTCCTGCTCGTTCCGCTTGAGCCACATGGGTCAAAATTAAGCCACTAGGATCTCGACCGCAGGTTGCCGTCCCCTTTTTCCATTTCGCAGGGCAACCCATTTTGGGGTGCAAAAAGGCGGCACTACACGGCCCAGCAGGCTCCCAGCTTTTCGCCGTGTTCACCTTTTTCACCTTGGAGGGAAACCACCATGTTGGGCCTCGAAACCACCATGTTGGCTCGAAACCACCATGTTGGAGCTGGGGCTCGAAACCACCATGTTGGGGCTCCATCTTTTCTGGAAGGGCATCCCATTTGTATGTGCCCTGGTCGACACTCCAAAACTCACTACGCAGGTGGTCATGGCAGGAATCTGAAATCTGAGAATCCTGATGATCATTCTCGAGATTGCTCAAGGGGCCATCGTAATTTCTGGTGTGGGTCATTCTCCTGAAAATCACAAAGAACTCCCCAAACCACTTTGTAGGAATCTCCTGGTTGGAAGGGCGTTTGCAAGCCCATTCTTTGATTTCCCCTTCAAGAAACCAAGGCCGCCCCCCCAACAACAAAAAACAGAGGACGCCTTCCCCCTACGAGCTGATACACAACAGAAACAGGGCACCCAATAAAGGGAGATTCCTCTGAGAATGGCCATGTTTAAGTTGCCGGTGCGATGGGTAGGGAATGAGTTGGAATGAACCCAGTTGGTCCGCTTACAGGAAACCACCAGTTGGATTGCTTTGTGAAGGTCATTCTCTCGCACCAAGTTAGGTTGGGTTCTACTGTGGGTAGACGAAATCCTGCACCACCGTTCAGAAACGCAATCAAAGTGCAAGCGGATTTCGTCCATCCACAGTATGTCAAGCAGGGCTGACTTCGGGTCAATCGGATGTCCTCGGCCTTGACGGGCTTCTCCATCTTCATCTGCCTGATTTTCCGGCGGCAGGGGTGGGGGTCGTGGGGTCACGAGTTGGCTCGTCAAAACCCAGAAAGCCCCGAGGCTTACACCCAGAAAGCCGTCCCAAAAAGACAACCGTGGAGTGGGAGCCATTTTAACAAAAAGGCACCTTAGGTGTTGACCCACAACCAACTGGGTTTGGGGGAGAGGTGGGAAGGCCACGGGGAATCTCCAAACAAAAGGAGGCTCGATCCCACAAGAAATGGGTTTGTCTCAAAATCGGGGATCCTGGAAAAATTGGTGGATGTCCTTTTTTCGCCTTTTGGAATCACTCCCGAAAAGGGTACCTTGAAAAAAGGACACACCCACTTGGTTTGGGGGGTCCTATGAATTTTCAGGAGTTTGTTTCATCCGAGGACGAGTGTGGAAACGGTTCCTAACCAGAGTGGTGCCAGCTGTATGTCTTAGGGACCTAGCCACCCCCAAACCAGTAGGTTAAAGGGAAAACACCCTGATGTGGCTGTGGGTCAAAGCCAATGGTACCATTTTGGGGTAGGTGCACCACCCATTTGTTTATTTTAGTAGGGATTCGGATGTTCACTGGGGGTACGGGATGACCCATGGCCATGTGGAGAATCAGAAACAGTCAAATAACGACCCCCAAGCAAAACAAAAGAGTCCTCCCATCTTTGTATGGGCTTGCTAGGGTCCCTTAAAGGATACATTCCAAATACACTGCTTTACAAGGAATCCTCTAAATCAGCCGGCATGCTGATTTTTTGGCCACCCATTCTTCAGGGCTCCTTGTATGTCCCCTACAAGGATCACCCCGCCATCACCCCGAGACTTGACGCGCTTGTGGAAGATTACACCTTCTGTGACTACCGAATGGGCCAGCCCTATGTATACTTTATCGCTTCACACAACGTGTCCCCGAAACCACATTTTCAAGAACCACGCTCCAAGAGGAGCTCCTGCTACAAACAACGCACCAAGAGATGCATGTTCAAGCCGCCCCAAAAGGACCCCACCGCTTGCCCAAACCAAAAAACAACCCAACAAACCAAACCCCGGCCAGGGTGGTCAGAACTCCAAAAAGCGCTTGCGCGCATCCCGCCTGGTGCACGCTCTGCCCCAGAGGATGGTATGTGCCTCGGTTCCGCTGGAGGCTGGGCGCTCGCTTCGGCGCCGGGGTCTCCCTAAAGGGGGGTGGGTACCATCGAACTGCGCCGTTTTTGGGGTTCCTTAGGCTTCCTTACAAGAGCCTTGGGGGAACCCCCCCCCTAAGCATTCCATAATCTTTGGTTCCAGCATGCTGAAAGATTAGATAGGCCTTACCAAAAAAAAACGGAGTAAAGCAGGTGGAACTCTAGGTGCTCAGGTGAAGCCCCAAACCTTCCGTTGAATCTGTTTGGCCTTAGAAATAAGAGTGGCTTGTCTATTTTGAAAGTCCCCCTTTTAAGGGAACCCAAAAGGAAAACCACCTTCCTTTTTTTTTGGGGGGGGGCAAAAAATAGACAGACCCAAATATCTTGGTGGCTAGCTGATCCCTTGCTAAAAGAACTGTCAGCGGAAAATGTCATAAAAAGTCTGAAAGTGTTGCTGGGCATGGCTAGCCGAGATATCCAACAACTTCGCACAACAAAGGCCCTGTCGCTGAAGGACGCTACTGCCTCTTTGGCCTTGACTTAAGAAAATCACGAGGCAACCCAGGCTCAAGAAATCCTTTTGGATGGGGTATTCCATTTCACAAGACATCTGGAAACATCCGGGAAACTGTGTAGGTGTTTTTTGTCCCATGTCAGGTCGAATCCTTCCGATTTGGGAAGCAAAGCACCCGACAAAAGTCCAACATGGAACCTGACAGAGACCGGCTTCCTTTTGGGGCCATTTTCAGACATCCAAAACGTGACTCAATAGAAGAGAATCATGAAGTGTCATCTTATTATCAGGTTAATGTTGTTTCTACTTTTTACAACATTATTTCACGTAAAGTCTCCATCAACTGACTGGTTTCCCTTCAAACCAACCTGAAACAGGTACCTCGACCCCAACGCCACGCCCCAGCCACCACCGAGGCGCGTTGGAGCCGCCGATGCCGCTGGCCGTGCAGGCCACAAAGGCTGCGGTCATGCGGTGCTGCCTCGAGGCGACGGGACGAAGCCAAGGGAAAACTCGAGAGCCTTTTCAACATGGAGGTACCTGGACCCTCAAACTAGCCTTAAACATGGCTCATTGCCCTAAAATTATGGGGTGAGTTACCCTCCCACCCTTTTCACATGGAGCCTGACCTTCTCAAGGTCCTGGTGTGGACCATTTTCCGTTCAAAGGGACCCCCGAATGTCAGGTTCCATGTAAATTGGTGGAAGGGTGTGTCTGCTTTTGCGGGAACCTCCCTTGGTGTGTCTGCTGTTGCAGGAACCTCCCTTTGGTTTCAAAATCACCATTGCGGGGAGCACATGCGGTTGCAGTACACGATATGGACAAGCTCGGAGCTAGCTTTTGTTGAAAGAGCGGTGACTCCCCCATGGCCCCGAAGTGAGCATGCACTACTGACATTTTGACGGAACTCATCTCATCCGAGGCAGTTTTGCCAGAATGACGAGAAAGGTTTATCTGGGCCCTCAGTTAACCAGGTAGAATCTACTAGGGCGGGAAGTGGTTTCCCGGCCAAACATATGGCCGGTTCCTTTCTGGACGCTGGTGCAGCCCGAGGTGCCAGTGAAACTCGCTTCCAAGAAGGGCCTCTTACTTCATTTTGACAAGCTTCGGAAATTCAACTTGTGGCTTCTGTGAGGATACCAAAATGGTTCATTCATTCCCAGAACCGAGGAAATTCCTTCCTGGGAACCAACGCATGAGGGGAATTGTTCATGGTACATTCGGGAGGGGCGTAGTTTCACCACGGCTCAGAACCTGTCAACATTGGAATCCGGAGATTTCCCCGTTGGGAAAATGAAGTCCTCCGACTCCGACCGCCGCTTTCTCTCAACCCCCGCAGTCCGCCGTGCACGGGCCGTCGGCCCGGCGAAGTGAACCCCATGCCGGAGAACCGGAAGGAGATTGCGAATTTTCGAGTTCTGAACTCCTCGAAACCCCAAAACCCCAAAGCCCAAACCACCCCCCGGAGACCACCACCCTGAAACCTGAGCTCGCGCAACACCCAGACCAAAACAAAACAAAAACCACCCCCGACGCCCGAACAACCCACACCCCAATCTCCAGAACCCCCAAATCCACCCAACGTTCCTGCCTTTTTGAGGGGACCCCCCAACAAAAAGGGGGTTGCTGTTGGCTCCCCTTTAAACCAAGCCCAAGTGTTTGCTTCCTCTTGACGAAATCAGGGGATTGGATCCCCCATTTACCCTTTACAAGAACCCAGGGTTCCTTGGTTGCTGTTGACCCCCTGCAAAAAGTTTAACTTTTTGGGGGTTTTGTGGAAACCCCCTTGATTTCCCAAAAAGCTAAAGTCTAAAGACCCAACCCAATAGCAGTCAAGGTTCAAACCCCCAAACCACCAATCCCAACCACCAATTGAGGGTTCCCTGACGCAGCCCACTTGGGCACCCTGCACATGCTCCGTGACGAAGAAGCTCGGCACATCGTCCTGGCCAAGCACATCCATGCCCAAAATACTGGCCTGAAAAGAAACCCGACACAGGAAGCCAAAAGAAGAAGGCACGCAAAGGCAGCCACAAGAACAACCTCCAAGTACTAACAAATGACCAGAACAACTTCCTCAGTTGCAACCAAATCTCCAACCCATCTCTAGAGTCCAATGCGCGCAAACAACTCTGGAGAGAACTTGCAAGGTTCTCACACCAGGGACCCCCTTCACAATTCAAAAGCCTTTGCGAGTTGCCCGCTATCTTTCTTTGAGCCACGGTCAATATTGCTTTTCCCAACTGACATAGGGATTTTTGGTGGGTGGTCCCCATTTCCGATGACCGCTGCTCCCCCTAAAACTTCCATTTGCTGAAGTCCCCTGGAACAAACAAACACATGATCGATTCCCTTCAAAGAAACACATATTCGTTTCAGCAAGTGGAAGGAAATTGTTGGTTTCCGCGTGGCTTCTTCCAATCCCCTCCCCACCCAAGTGTTGGCACAGTTTCAACTCCAGCTCTCCTCCGGCGCACAACTCTGGGCCCCCGCGCGGCTTGCACCACATGGGGATTCAACTTGTGGAGGTGCAGGGAGGGCGGCATGCAGCCCATCGCCTCGATGCTCAAAGGGCTGCCCTCTGAAACACACACACACACACACACACACACACACACACACACACACACACACAAAACTTGTGTCCCCTCAAAAAAAAACGACGCACAAACCCTGTAACCATGGCTTTCTTTTGCTTCCCCTCTGAAACACCGAACCAACTTGCGAGTCCTCCAAAAAAGACACGCCCAAACCCTGTAACCATGAAACAGCCGATGAAACAACAATTAGTTGGGGCTCCCCTAACAAAATAAGCTCAGGTGATATCCCCAACAGCAAGCGGTGCTCTTTTTTTGGTGCTCACACCACCCCGCAGCCCTCGCATCCTCGTGGACCCTCGTGGGACCCTGCTGGAACCCTGGTGAAACCTCGTGGAACCTTACCTCAGGGCCGCCCCGGACCACCCCGGAGCCTATCTGGGCCTATCGACCCCAAAGCTTGCAGCTGTCGGGGGCAAAGAAGAAAAAAAAAAAAAACACTCCCATACTGTTCGGAGCGACCTTTTTTGTTGTAACCCCACTGAAACCCGGCAAAACAGCCAAATTGCAAACCGGCACACCGGCTGGCAAACAAATCAACCCGAGGCATCCAATCCCCGAAAAACGTCCGATCCCTTCCCCGCTCCGATCTCCGCGCCTGGCCCACGATGACCCGCAGCAGCGCCGCGCAGCCCATGGCCGGCCGCATGTTGCCTCGGGTCGCTGGCGCTGGACGCGCGCTCCGTTGGGCGAGTTGGGCTTGGCCAAATTTGCTTTGGGCGAGGGACTTAGAGATCCCTGGTTTAGGATCAAGAAATCTTGGGTTGGGGGGGAGCACCAGATTCGTCCGCCATATTCGCCTGAGGGAAACCCAAGGGGAAAAACCAAAAGTTTGGCCGTTTTTGGGAGGCCCGGCAAAAAGGGCTGTTGTTAAAGCCTCTTTTCAGGTTGGGTTGAAGGGAAGTCCACACCGACATGGGGAAAAAAGCACGACATTGGGGCCCAATTTCGATACATGCCCAGGTGATGTCCATGTCTATTTTGATACATGCGCAAAACCCTGGCGCACGCGCGCGCAGACACATGCCCTCTTGCAGCCAAATCTTCAGCCCAGGTGCCAACGTTGGTCTTCCCGGCCAACAAGCCCAGCATCTCTTCTTCCGTGTCCTCGCGAGAGAGAAGCCCTCCGGAGAAACCGAGCCCTCGGCTCCCCTCAAAGCATGGCTTGGAGTTTTTGCGGGTTTGAGGTGTTCCGGACCGGTTTCCCATTTGGCTATGGGTCAAAATCCCGTACCCCCAGTGAACATCCCAATCCAACCACTAAAATAGGATCTAAAATGGCTGGTGCAACTACCCCAAAATGGTTACCATTGGTAAAATGGTTGAAGATGCCAATCCTGCAATGAAGTCGTTGAAGATGCCAATCCAGCAATGAAGGCTTAGCTCAAAGAAAAAGGACGGGGAGATGCCGTTGGTAGTGTTGACCCCATATTAATCAACCCCCCGGCTTATAAATAGGGGGCTGCTTGGTGAAATGTGATGAGAATCAGAAATCACTTTTGGAGGGGTTCCCCTCCCACCTTATTTTTTTTTTTTTTAAGAAAGAAGAACACACTAACTGGTTGGGTGAAACTTCTATGGGGTCAACATGGCTTGTTTTAAAGGTAACACCCAAGGGGGGGAAAAAAAGGAGAAAAAAATACGAACTGCAAGCCGTTCATCCGCGCCTGGTCCATGGCCAAGGCGCGATAGGCCCGAGTCAGTGCAGTAGCCTGACCGCGAGCTGCGCCAGATTTCTCACCACAGAGACCCCCCCG